GCGTTTAAACGCCAAACTGCCAGGATTGGGTTTGGGGGGCATTCTGTACAAATGCATAAAAAAAAAATATATATATATACATACATTTTTTTTTAAATAAATAAATAAATAAAAAGTAGGTTTTGTAAATAGGGATACACAATTATCTGGCCGATATTAGGAATGATGACTTCCTATGAATAAATTACGTAAATAACACTTAAAAAAAAGGCTCAAATAGAAAGAAGAAAAATCCAAGAATGAAGATGAAAATTCAATGCAGCTCTCCTTTGTTTTTGGTGGGCTCCTTTCCATTGAATACAGCCTAAAATAAACTCTTCTCCTCTGAGCTTGTGCAGGACAAACATAATGTAAATTGTGTGGGATTTTTCTGTGACCAAATTAAGCATTGACCTCACACTCAAGAAACATGACACGATTGTGTGGTATTACTTCACTGTTTTAGAGGAAGGCATCTCATGTGCTATTTGCACCAAATGTTCTGCAAACATTCAATGAAAAGGGCGGGGGAACAAAAAATGAGCCCCACACAAGAAATCTTATCAGCCACTTAAAACATTGCCATCGCTACAACGTTGCAAAACAAAAAGTGAAAAGAATTCAGCATGAACATGAATTGGTTAGTGCATAAATCATGCAGTTACACGCAGACAAGAGGCAATTCACCAGCCTGCATTGATGCATTGGAGTGACTTAGGGAGCACTGTAGTATGGGCGAGCAAACGAAGCAGACAGACATTTGTAGGAATGGGGGATGGGCAAACAGAGTCCACAGCACCACTTGTACGCCTTTGTGCACAAGCAGTCACAAACTGCCTGCTGCCAATACGGAGGAATTAGGGTGTACACTGAATGAATGTATTATACAGCTCTCTCTCAGATATACAGTATACAGTATTACACATTATTACATGACTGCAAGGTTAAAATAATAAAGAGGAAAAAAATTATGGTTTCGTATTTGTTTACAGTGTTTGACAATGTTCGGTAAAGTAAATAACAAATCTATTTAGATGCCCAAACTAAAAGCAGCTGATCAAACTATGTTTCAACTGTTAATTATTCTCACACTTGACCATTGACACAACTGAGGGCACAGTTACCTCGCAAAACGACCTAGTGCAAAAACCTTTGAAACTCTAAACCTTGTTGAAAACGTTCACGTAAAAGATGGAAGCAATGTCAAAACCATCCCTTTTTTTATACTGACACGCAAAAATAATTAAACTCTGAAACATTCCAGATGCCCCAATCACTGACAATGGAGCTTGTGTCAACCCCCACAATGCATGTTGATTCTGTTACATGTGCATTGATTATATTCAGTCACAAAATGGAAGTTGATCAGTCTTTCAATAAGTAAGGCAGTAAAAGGCAGGAAAGTGAACACATTTTACCCTTCAAGAAATAACGACAGTATTTTTGTGCAGTGTTGGTGTTAAAATACTACTTGCAACCAAAGCCAATTTTGCTAACCAAAGCCAATTTTGCTAACCAAACTGAACTAAAAGCCAGACTAAAATCACAGCTGTGCGAGAGAGCCTCAACGTGGCTAAAAAAAATATTTTTTCAAAAGTGTGTTTGAAGGAGGCAGGTTTGTAGCACGGGGATGTGACGTAACAAATGCAAGTAGAGTGTCTCGATAGACATAGATTTTTTTATTTGGGCTTCAGGAAGACATCACGTTTATTCAAGGTAAAGGAAAATCCTTGTCTGATCTACACCAACATTTTTTTCCAACCAGGCCCACTTCTATGAACTCTAGACTGCTGGATCGAACTGAGACACTGTTTTATGATCTCTTTTTTGGAAGAAGTCGTTTTTTTACGTGACATATTGAATTAAGATTGATGCATAAAGCAAAACCACAAATGGGAGTAAAAACATGTTTTCTAGCAAGGATCCAAGCATATTGTATTCACGTTCATGATAGAATGAGACAATAATACTGTCAGATTTACAGACAGCTGATTATATTAATTTTACTTACGAGTGGGGATGTCCGGATCACGTTTTTGCACCCTAGTCCGAGTCAATATGCTGATACAGAGTTCTGATCCAATACCTCGGCAATGGATTAAGGAGAAAAAAAAAACAGCGCATCCAAATATATATATATATATATATATATATATATATATAAAATTTTAAAACAAAACTACCGCAACATGGCACCTTTTATTTGGCTAGCAGAGCAGTGGTTTAAACCAAGTAAAGCACCCCCCGCCCCCTTGGACACATCAGTTTTGCTGCCAAATGAAGTGCTCAATTTGCAGACATTGCAAGTTTCTGTGGCGCTGTTTCTGCTTTCCACATTAAAATATTTCCACACAGCACTCAGTGTCATTGTTACACCGCACTAGCTTCACTTTATATTTCCAGCGACAACAACCAAAACATCCCCAACTGTGTTTACTTATCTCTCTATCTGTGTGTGTCACTCAGTGCCTTTCATGGCAGACCACAAACGCCAGTCACCCAAAGCTCATACTTTACAGCCTGCAGACAACTGGAGACCAGCCTGGGTTCAGTACTGCGTCCCGTCCTCCTTCCCTAAACACTGCACCTTACAGATCAAACCAATAACTGAATCATAATATATGTTGCATTTTCTGCACTGTCTATTAGAAATACTGTCCAGTTTTTGTAAAGGGATGGAAATGTGGATGTCAGTTTTTTTTTTATCTGATTCATTAATTAGTCAAAAGACAGACTGATTAATCAATTATTAAAAATAATTGTGAGTGAGAAGTTCTAAAATCAGAAAATGTGCAGCTAATCCACGTGATCAGTGTCTGAATAGCTATCGCACAGTCTCACTCATGGATAATCGTTATCAGAATTGGCAGCATCAAAGCCTGATCCCAACACCCCTAGTGTAGAGGCTGTCTGGGATCCTGATACACTAAATGCCTGGGGTTCTCAAATATTGTCTGTTGTAATCTCATGTCAGTGAGCACGATTCCTTTGCCGAGATAATCCAAGAATCTGATTAGACAGCACGAATAATACACAGATGTGCCTTAGGCTGCCCCCCAAAAAGGCCATTTCAAAATGTGTTCTTTTACCGAAATGGATATCCAGGGGCATGACCACCATTTTCCAGCATACTATACCCACTGGTCATGTCACCCATTTAACATGTTTGCGATGATCTGGATACAGAAGCATCACTGCTACAGAAGAGGAGTGGACCAGCATTTGACAGGTCACAAAAAACATTATCAACTCTATGTATAAGGCAAATGATGGTAATAAAATAAAGCTGGACAACTCAGACAGGAAAGTTTGGAGAAAAAGTGAGAGAGGCCAGACTGAGATGGTTTGGACATGTACAGAGGAGGGACAGGGGATACATTGGTAGGAAAATGTTAGAGATGGAGCTACCAGGTAGGAGACAGAGAGGAAGGCCAAAGAGGAGATTCATGGATGCCGTGAGGGAAGACATGCAGGTAGTTGGAGTCAGAGTAGAGGATGCAGAGAACAGGGAAAGATGGAAATTAATGACTCGCTGTGGCAACCCCTGAAAAGGGACAAGCCGAAAGGAGAAGAAGAAGATGGTAATAAAATAAAGCTTTGTAATAAGCATCTTGATATGCCATATCTGTGACGTGGATGGATTGTCTATACTGTATCAGCAAAGGAGAGGCGCTCACTGACAGATTAAGAACAATATTGGACAGAAATAGATATTTTTTTTGTTCAGGGAAAAAGCCTCAGATCTTTGCGTTTAGCTCGTGAGAATGAGAGCAAAAACATGTTCTATTTTTATCTAGCTATCTATCTTTATTATATTTATATTTCTTTTCGGTGCGTACAAGTACATGTTAATTCATATACAGCTTCCAACAGTAGCATAGTGTTGCTCCACATGAGGAAAGACCAAGTAAAACCGACATGACTGAGAAAAGTAACAAAGATGCTGATGCCTTCTGTGTAGGGGTATGAATGCAAAGCAACATACTCTTTCATATCACAGAATGATTGCAGGGTAAACACTAAAATGCACAATAATGAAAAAGCTTTGTTAGCCCCTTCCAACTTTTATACACACACCCATAACTTCATTGTTGACTGCACAAAGAACCAAGTGGCACAAGTCCGACAAACTATCTGTGGTAATGCTAAAACCTATAAAATGGTATGAATAGATCAGTATTATTAAACAATCACGTGTCAAAAATTGGCCACCAAAATATTGGTTATGGTCTATTCTGTGGCTTGAGCACCTTGAATCATCTCATGTGTGATCTGTGCCCTATTACTGACTGATGACCAATGTGTGTACTCCACCTGTTGCACCACATAGGTTCCAGTTATTCAAAATCCATAGGACAACCGGTATGGAAGAGGACCGACGGATGGATGTTTGTCTTTATGATCACACAATACTCTCATATTTCCATGTTTATCAGAGCTGCACAGTTTTAATGGATCCATCTATCCTCCTCTACACTGTTTATCCTCAATCAGTGTTGTGGGTGAGCTGAAGCTCATCTCAGCTGACGTTTGGCGAGAGGAGAGAAACGTTTTTGTGGCATTTAATAATTAATTAGTAATTATAACAACATAATTGTACAAGTCCAGAGTTCGAGAACCTGCAGCCCATCTTTTACGGAGGACTTGATCGGAAAAACAGGTTTTCAAATCTTGTACCAGTTTGTAAAATTAGATGTGAGTTTTGGCATGGTGCCAGAGGCCATCCAAGGCGAAGTACAGTCCGAGCAAGTGAAGACATTTGCGTACCTTCAACCGTTTGACCACCTCATCGTTGCTGATTTTGTCCGTTATCTCTTTGACTCCGGGAGGATAGCAGATCTTGCCGTCGCCCGCCGGTTTCTGCTGTTGCGGGAACTCCATGGTGGTGGACGTCGGAACCAAGCGGTCTTCTACTGGCCTCTATGGGCCGGAAAACAAAAGTTCAGCAGCGCCATGCTACAACACTTACAAAAAACTCATTTTGAGCACTATTTCACTCTCTAAACGTTCCATTCCCAACACACGCTCCTCGTATGGCGTGGTACAATTTTAAGGTTGGAGGATGACGAACAGTTTGAAGTTACAAAGCCAATACTCAAGCAGATATATGCATATGGACATTAGCTTACAAGCTAATGCCCAGCTGTAGCTCAGTCCCAGGTTTCCTTAAATGCAACAAAAAGCACCGTTTTGCGATTAAGAGCGGCGCATAAACAACTGGAGTTCCATCCAAACGTAATAAGTCGTCTGAAGAAACAAACGTAATAGCACACACGACTCGCCTGTGTGTACTACTGTCACACAGGTTATCAAATGGGCCAGCGATCGAGCTTTGGAGCAAAACAGCATTGGCATTTAGCGGGAAGCGCGGTTAGCTGCTAGCAGCTAGTAGCTGCTACATACAGTGTGTTAGCGACTAGCCGGGCTAGTTGCTAGTGTTAGGCCGCAAACTATTAAGGTAACCATCACATCTCCCTCCTCAGACAACCACTGAGGAAGTCAAGTATGCTTTCACCGAAGCATGAAACATCCACACCGGCGAATAGATCCAGAACTTTCCAACAAATGCAACAACTTTAGTAAGTTTAAAAATTGAGCAAATTTACTTGACGCTCTCTTTTTGGACTTCAACTCATCTGCCTCTCGTTAACATGCGAAGGGCTGCTACCGTTGCCCTGAGCTCTCCTCTAACACCAGTAACTTGCGTCCACGGACGATTCAAAGCACATGAAAAATGCTACACGCGGATGTTTCCAAACAGCGCGAGTATAATCACAGCCGAATTGCACAACAACCGTTTTCCGGTATTTACCTTTCGAGTGGGCCGATTTAATTCATTAGTCTGACACAGGTTGGATCTAGTTTTCCGCACAAAGCTCTGTCCGTTCAGTTTGTGCTATCTGTGAGACGACTGAGTGAAGAGCGCCCCCGTTTGGCTCAAGTGAATACTACAGTTCCAAATACCTGGCGGACCACAAGAGGACAGTTTATTTTTTTCCCGCCGTTGAGCCAAGACACATTCAGTGTCTTACATTTGAAAGTAAAATCTCACGGAACACCATCAAAAAAACAATCAAAAAAGTGATACACAGGTCATTTATCAAGCAAGTTCTGACATCTAGTCAAAGAGATTTTCGTTTTTCTGCCTGTCACGACACATTATTGGCATAGATCGATGAACAAAAATAAACTATTTGTAGTAAACATTCATCCATTTTCCCGATGCGCTTTATCCCCACACGGGGGCGGGGGTGCTGGAGCCAATCCCAGCCGTCTTCGGGCAGTAGGCGGGGGACACCCTGAACCCGTTGCAAGCCAATCGCAGGGCACACACAGACGAACAACCATCCACGTTCGCACTCACACCTTGCTCAATCAGCCCGCCATGCATGTTTTTGGAATGTAAGAGGAAATCGGAGGACCCGGAGAAAACCCACGCAAGCACGGGGACAACATACAAACTCCACACATGAAGGCCGGGGCTGGATTTGAACCCGGTATCTCTGCACTGTGAAGTCAACGTGCTAACCACTCGACTACCGGGCTGCACTTGTAGGGCATATGGATTGTTATTTAATTTTATGGCATTGCCGACACAATTTTCCGGTAATTGCTTAACTGGCTGCCTTTCGAGCTAGATGGTTTACGTTAATCATATTTCCTGCAGGGTGATAGTATTTCAGGTTTTTGCAATCTTTTATTTTGAAATTTGCCCCATACGGTCAGAAGTAGCTTTTATTTCGTACTCAGCCTAAGGATTTCCGCGATCGGCCATTAACGACCTTAGTGTACAGTGCTTTTGTAGTTCTCAATTCTTAGTTGGGTTTTGTGTAAACGTTGTAACATTGGCGAGTTCAACTTTATTCACGCTTTTGAAAAGGAATAACAATGATTTCTGTTCCGGAAGCGCGTTTTTACTGCAACGAATGCTTGCTCAAAATCAGTGTTTGTCGCCAGCTTCGCAGTTAGCTTCCTGTAGCTTTGCTACCGTGACCAAGTGAAGGAAGGATTTACCTCAAACTTGCTATTATGCCTCGGAGAAAGAAAAACGAACAGAGCCCAACCAGAGTCCCCGGCGAGGCGCCTGCCGGGGGAGATTTCGGTCTCGGACCACTTCATGGTTACGATGTCGCATCGGCGTCCAACTTTTCATCCAGCAAAGGAAGCTCCGACAGGCAGAAAATTACCCAAAACATGCGAGATATATTCTCCCGCTTGGACCCAGAAGTTATACACATGGTGCTGTCTGAGGTTGACTTTAAAGGTAAAACGCGTAATTGCTGGGAGTTCATTAAAAGTGCATGAAAGTACCGTACATCTAAATAGCACAGCGAGCAGCGATGCCTCGTAAATATTGAAACAAAAACAAACGCTATTAAGAGTAGCGATCTATTTTACTCCTGGTATTTATTAATTCCGGTTATAAATTTGAGACTCTAAATATATTAAATCAACCATTTGGACAACCGTCAAATTGGTTTTGGTGAAAGGGTTACCCTGTTTTCTGCACTTTAAGCTGTTACAAATGTTGTCATGACCAAGACTGAGTCATCATTGCAAAACACTCAAACCTCCCAAGCATTTGTTTTGTGCAACCTTTTTTGTTTCCTACTTAAAGCTCTTATTCGTTTGATTCCCCCCAAATTGTTTGTGTCCCAACAGTTGGTGGTTCTTCAGGGTTTCCACTGTTAGCTCATCAACATGAATGTACAGTATATCAATTAGGGTGCCGACTAAGATAATAAATGAACGTTGATTATTATGTCAATTTATGACATTTTCAATGTGATTGGTGATTTCTGAATGCCCCTAACTCCTGTTGAGCCTAAATCAAGAACGTCTCTGCTTATGCTCTCCATTTTACATCACTTGCAAATGATAAGCAATTATTTTTACATAATCTCGATTATTTTTCAATATTTTCATGCCATTCCCTATATAAAACATTTAATGGTAATTTATGTGATAATATTGTAATAATCACATTCAAATAAATTAATGTCTTGTTGCAGTCGAAAATGCCATGGATTCCCTGTTGGAACTGTCAATTGCTGCTGAACTCGCAGCCCCTGTTGGATCACCAGTGTCTGGCTTTGAGAGCACTGCTGCAGCCCTGCTTAGTCCTCATCATGTTTCTCAACCTGTACGAGACCCTGGATCTTTGGAAGCATCAGATCACCTCACCTTGCCATCATCTACCAGTCTGCTGACGGAAGAGTTGGACCTTCAAGTTGATCAGGAACTACAAAACCTGACTGCGCAACAGGAAGTTCGTATTAATAGCCAATGTTCGTCTGCAGACATGACACTTTCTTCGTTATCTGCACCACAGTTTCCAGAGCAGGTCTTCCCTGAGCTGCTTCAGTTCAACCAGAAACCTGAATGTGGGCAGAGCTCTGATGGGCAGCCATGTCTTGAAGGAGGCTTGGTGCATTCTGGAGGTCCCTCTCCATTTGATGGGCTCAACATTCGGGAGCATGGCAGCGGTGACGGTCTGAAATCGGTTGTGGATTTCACACATCTAGTGGCAGAAGAGTCTGCAGACAAGCCAAAACCTCAGTTGGATCTTGTTGCTTCAGGGCGTCCCTCTGCCTTTCATTTGTATAAAAAGGATGAGTCATCTGAAATGTTTTTAGAACAGGCTGGCCCCGTGCCCTCTGAAAATAGACATGGAGGACTAGGTTCTCAGGTGACCACACCATTGTGGAACCTTCATTCACCTGCTTTCTCTCCGCGTTTACATGGAAACAAAGGACCATGTTTTATCACTCCTATTGCACCTTCACACCCTTCAATTGGACATCTCTCACCCTGGACAGGCCAGTTCAGTCAAGCACCTCTAAGACATTCTGCTACGATTCCCAAATCCTGGGCTACGGCAGCAGCTGCACATAATCCAGGTGGGATTGCACCTGCTCGGTCAAGCAGGCTTCGTTTGGAAGGGAAGGTGCTAGTTTTGCTACGTGGCCCACCAGGATCTGGAAAATCCACTTTGGCTCGGTACGACGTGAACAATATCACCAACACTGTCCAAAAGTTACAACATTGGCAGTTGGCAAAATGTATGTTTTTACATTGCTTTCATACTTAGCACAACAGTTTAGAAGCTCTCAAATCAAATTGGTATATTAAATACTCAAATTAAGATTAAAATCCAACTCCAATGGAGTTTTGGGATACAAGTGTCCCAATTTATGCGATTTTGACGATAAGCGTGAGGCAAATTTCTTTACTCGACTTGCGAGATTTGAGATTTAAAGGCTGTATGGTTGCAATCATGGTCTGCACTTCACAAGCACCAGTTTGGCAGATAGAGAACAATTCTTTAAAAAAGTTTTGAAACTGTTTATTGGAACTCCCAGTTGAAGTGTACAAAAAAAAAACGAAATATAAAACAGAATTACATGTGTATTCAGTTAGACTATTTTGCCTAATGCTAACAAACAATGCAAACACCATCAAATCAACGAATAACACAGGTTTTGCAGTGTTATAACCCTTAAAACATATATTTTTATCACAAATGGTGGAGCAACTCATAGACATAATATAACAATACTCACATGACTATATTCTTTGTCTTTTACAAAAATTATAGTTATTACATCCCTAAATAGAAAAAAACATGATTAAATTCTGATCTAGCAGACATGACCAATGAGTGGGATGAAATGTCGTTATGAAAAGGTGAATTCACTTTTAAGTTCCTTATTTGTGTTCAAAATGGTAACACTCTGAAGGAGATTGTACTAAAGCACTTCATGCTGCTGGATAGTCTCTGAGACTGGTAGATGGTGTTGGTGGCCTGATAAATTTGATCTCAGATCATGCTGATAAGCGGTTGTCCATACAACATCTTAATTTCATCTCTGCAGAGCTCTTGTGGAACATAATCCAGGTGGAGTTGCACTAAGCACCGACGACTACTTCACTGTTCAAGGGCACTATCATTTTGATCCTGCTACTTTGGGGGAAGCTCATGAGTGGAACCACAAGCGAGGTAAACACAGCTGTACAGTAGGCAGTTGTAATTAAATAAGATGGAGCAGTTATAACTGTAACCACTGAAAGAACAGATGCTTCAGGTACTTCATCTGTCATCTCACCTTCACCTAATAGCCAAAGAAGCTTTTGAGAGAGGCGCTAACCCTATCATCATTGACAATACAAACATGCAGGGCTGGGAGATGAAGCCCTATGTGGCCCAGGTCAGTAGTCACCCGCTTTCAATACCTTTAGTAAAATGCCCACTTCTTATTGTTTTTAGCAATGTAACTATTTTTGTGGTGCTCCTGAAAAACTATTATTTCTACTTGTTAGGCATTGAAACATAATTACAAAGTGCTGTTTCGTGAGACGGACACTTGGTGGAAAAACAAGCCCAGAGAGCTAGAAAGGTGAGGAAGATCTAGGGATTAGAATAATCAAACATTTCATTGTCACTCGTCAAGACAGAAACCCCATATAAATCTTTGTTTTTATGGGGTTTTTTTTTTCACAGACGCAGCAAACACGGTGTGTCTGTGGAAACGATTCGCCGCATGCTGAATGGCTATGAGCACTTTGTAACAGTCAAGTCCATCATGGGTGCATTATTACCTGAGTCGAAACAGCGCCTTCACTTGGAGAACAGAAATATACAGTAAGTGTGAATCACAAACAACAGGATCAGTCTTTTCTGTTGTATGTAACAGATTACATCTTTGTTTCAACATCAAATACATTGACATTTCCTTGCAGCTGAAAATATATTTTAAATACAATAAAGAAAAAAAAATCAATATATATATTTATATTCACCAATATGAAATACCTATATCGTGATATACTTTTCGGTCACATCACCCAGCCATAGCCATGCATATTGTTGCATTAGTGCTTTGCCATCATGAGATATGAGACATCTGCTATTTGACTGGCTTGATGGGTTTATTGCACATGGCTGCCATCGGGTGGAATTCTCGTAGCTCTAAAATCATCACATTTCAGGAGACCCCAAAAATGTCATGTTTGTCCAACCATTCACATTGCATCATCAAATAAAGCAAGCCAGTTTCAGCACAACAATTCGTAAAAAATTCGGCTTTGGCCTGATTCTAGTGATATCCTCATTGCTGGGCCTCTTTGTACAAAATATACTACGTACATTCATTTTCAAACAAAGGCGGATTTTCATTCACCCACAATCAGCATTTTGCAGCGGCCTTTTAAAGTGAAACAGCGTTTATTTCTCAATAACGGAGTCATTAAATTAATTACTTTAACCATCCTTACAATTTTGTTACATTTACTGATCATGTGAAGTGCCACCTTATCTGTATCTCTGCTTTAGACTCCTATCTGAAAATCTAGAAATATGCCCCCTGTATCCCAGCAGGATGCTCCTTCAACATGTGCATTAAACATTAATTATTGATCTGCGACATACGTGCATTTACGGCGACCATGAGGGGGCAAGGTGGGCCTGTGGATAACTCCCCAGGTGGATGCCCGGAGCTACAGTCCCATTGGCCTCATCCTCTACACGCCCCCTGCCGAAGATTAGGCAGAGGCTCAGAGGGGATCGAGCTTTTTCCGTTGCCTCCTTTTGGAATGACCCTCTGCTAAACATGAAGCAAGCCCCCTCTCTTTCCATTTTTAAAACTTGTCTTAAAACACGTTTTTATTCTATGACTTTTGACTCAGCATGAGACTCTGCGTTTTTTTAGTGTATGGTGTTTTTACGATATTAATTTTTTGAGTTTGCCTTTCATTGTCACTGTTGACATCCCTCAGGTGTCTGACTCCTGAAGCAAAATGTCCCGATCTTGTCAGTGAACCTGGACTGATGGACCGGCGTAAGAATTCCCAGTCTCAACTCTTTTCCTCTCTTCCTGATGTGTCATCTATTGATCATCCCAGTGAGGTGCACAAGTTGGAAGATAACCACAATTCAACAGATTCAATTGATTTCCAGCCAATTGGAAGAGTGTCAGAACATTCAGACAGGGATGTTAACCTGGACTTGGGAGCTTTGGATTCTGAGCTGGATTCCCTAAATCAGTCTAATGGAGAACAGGGAATACCTGATTGTATTGTGGAATCGGTGATGAATGAAGACCAACATAGTAATGAACTCCCGGTGGCCTTCTCTGAGTCTATCAAACAAAGGTTGCCAAGAGAAAGACCGACAAGGAAGATTGATTCTACAAATCCGGCGAAAGATATTGACCAGTCAGATGACTTGCCAATGGAAAAAGAGCAGATGAATAAAGAGGCATCAGTGAGAAGTAGGGTAGAGGGAGAGATGTCCAATATGTTGCATTTTGTAGGTGACTGGCCATCTGAAGGGCCCCTTGATCAGCGACAAGCAAGGAGAAATCAAAGCCGTGAAGACAGAGGGGTGTCTAAAGAAGTCACAAATGACAAAGGCAATGTGACTGAGTTCCAGAAACTTCTTGATCTCATTCAGACTGGTGTAGTTACTTGCCAGTCTGGTTCTTCTTGTTCATCACCTCTTTCTGTTTGCCTACAGCACAATTTGGAGACAGATGACAATCTTGAAGAATCCCTTAGCTGTTGGTCTGAGAGTGAAGAGAAGGGACAGAATATGAACACGGAGAAGAGTGGCAGAGTTGACTTACCAGACTGTATCTTAGACTGGAAAGCTGCAGAATCTTGTAAGGGTAATGGTGAGATTTTAAAAACTGAAAATGAAACGAGTGGAACCACAGTTTTAGACATTGGTTGTGAAACAGAGCCTGACGCTGCTGCAGATACCTTGCCGGCTGTTGCCGCATATGAATCCGTAGGGCCGAAAGAAAGCTGTGGCACAGAATGTGATAGCGAGTTTGTGTTTGCCGGCAACACCAAGACAGACACAAAAAATTGCAAAGAGCAGATAGACAATGAACTGACAGTGAAGCCGAAAAGCAGACGGTCTAGTGATGCCACTGACCCTTTGGAACTGGAGAGTTGTGTTCTCAGTGGATGCACTCAAGAGCGAAAGCAGCGTCAGAGTCGCAGATCAGGGAAGCAGTGCAAGCTTGCCCTCACCTTCACTCAGAACTGTCTGGCTCCTTCTCTCAATACACTTGAAAGTCCCAATACCACATTACAAATGGTTGACATTGGTCAGAGTGCTATCACCACACATCCTGACTGTGAGACCAGACTCAGTCCTAAACTAGACTTCTGCACCAAGCTCAACAAAGATGACCTTGTGCAATCTGACTCCCGACTCTCTTCGGAGAGAGATCGCCCCTCCCAAACTGAACCTCAGGACTTTTCCCTTCTTTGGCGTCTTAATCATCAAGACGCCCGAGCAGATTCCGTTGTCGCTGCCAGCAGCTACTGCAGTGACATTACAATCCTATGTGGCGTCTCCTCACGATTTGTGCCAGAGGTTGCATCTGCGGTTTCTGCTGCTGTTGCAGTTCACCCATCCACTCAAAATACAGTACCATACCGCATGGTGCACGAGAAAAGCACACAGGTGGAGGACAAAGAATTTGTGGCAGCACATAGCCGTCATGAGAGCCTGACCATCCTCAGTCGTCATTTTAAGCTAGTTAGTTTCGATACGTTGGAAGACTTATATGACAAATGCCACCAAGACTTAGAATGGACAACCAACCTGCTACTGGATTCTGGAGAAAGGCTCTTCAGAGATGAGGAGGTTTTAGAGGACATGCATGAGGAGGACACTGTTGAAGTTGAACAGAGCACAACACTATTAGGAACATCATTGGAGACCAAGTTGGGGGATCAACTTCCTTATGCAGGTTCGACTGCTGGTGCCGATGTGCTTCAACAGTATACACATGAGGCCGTGAGCGAAATCGGGGAGGCCTCCGATACTGACTCGTCAGGATTTGTTGGCACAGCTTCTCCAGCCCAAACCAAAAATCTGCTGGATACACATTCACACACAGTAACAGCTACTCCCAGCCTGCCTACTTTGGAAACACATGATGTCATTGAACATAAAGCATTAATCGAGGAGTTAAGTTTTGCGACTCCAGATGAGATTGCCAGTCTGGAAGAGGTCCACCGGCTTCTGCAAGCTGAACTGGATGATTTGGAAAGAGATGAAAGACAGAAGAAGGATGACAGGAGATCCATGGGAAATCAAGGTTGCAAAGTCCTGAACATTGACACTGTGGAGCTGAAACTGCCCACTGAGCTGGCATTGCAACTAATTGAACTGTTTGGACCTGTGGGAGTCGAGCCAGGTAACAATACAAGTTACAGATTTTATGCGAATCAGTGACTTGGATAATCAATCAAAATTCACATTGATTGATGATAAGCATGTGCCCACAATGTTTAGGTACATGCTCTTCTGAAGACTATGCTCTGCAGATGGATATGAACCTGGCTAAACTGCTCCACCAGAAGTGGAGAGAAACTATCCAGGTGAATAACAAACCCTCGCAAAATAAACAATGGAAGCGGACGCTGTCCAACTAGAAAATGTCTCTTCTATTTTGTCTCGATCTGAGCGGATCTATGCAAGTTAAACCTGTTGTTTCATAGGAACGGCAGAGACAAGCAACTCTTTCCAGCCAATTGCTTCTGGACGGTAAGTTAAAACACACCAATGGACAAAATAAACGGATCTCCCGATCAGTCGCTCAGCACAGTTGAAACAGGGGAAAACAATCCAAAAAATCCCCAAACAAATCCCATGGTACACAGGTTGCATCTGCGTGACTTCATAATGCAAAATATATCCAGGCCGCACTCTCAAATGTATATTGGACCACCTCAGTCAAGCAATTAAAACCTTATTTAACCAGAAAATACAACCCACTTAGACCAAGATCTACTTTTCAAGGGTGATCTGGCCAGGAACACAGCATGCAATTCAAGTTATAATAACAACAATGCAATGTAAGAAAAAAGAAAAAAAAAAGGGCCACAATGAAACATCATCTGTCAGCAAATCAGATAACAGTGATGTCACGGCCCTACACCTTGCTTGCGTTTTTGGAGGAGGTTCTGAAAAGCGGTTCCATGTTAACTGCACGGCCACGAAAAATTCGAATGGAAAAGCAACCGCACAGGGCGCAGACAGGCTGTTTCACGGTGGAACTGGTGTAATCGAAAAGTGGCTCGACAGCAAGGGGCAATTTAAAGTCTTCAATGCACCAGGCATACATAAAGTGAGTGGAACAGTCCTACCACAAACAATATTGAGCAAAATTGTTTACTTTTCCACCATAATAGGATATCTCGCAGGGTTGATTTCAAATTAGCAATACACTTGACAAATAAACTAATGCTCACTAAAACATGCAAGTCAGCAAGAATATACAGCGAAGGGTTCCTATTTATTGACTTGAAATCCAAGCGGTGCCTTTGTAGATATATATAATGCTATACGGAAGTTGTAACTGCTTTAAAATAAAGAAAAGTACTATAATGCTATACGGAAGTTGTAACTGCTTTAAAATAATCATTATCAAAGCCATGGTGATCACACTATATTTTAACTGATAGGATGATTTTTGCACATTAACCACTTCATTTAGGTCCAGTTCCATGGAATGAAACTCAGATGTGCAAACCAACATCTCATTTTCCGAGTGGCAAAGATGGAGGGATGCCAGTGATGGACCACTGGAATATGTCCCAGCCATGTGTCTCTCTACGGGACATTATAAAAGAGGAGCTGGCCATGCAGGAGAACATGAAGAAGGTAATCCACTGTCTAATTTCACACTTCTAATTGAGCTCCCTTTATGACACCCCTCTTGCCCCATTAATTTCAGGCAAGACAAAATCGAGCAGACCTAAGTAGGCGTGATGGGGCCTCCATGCTAAAAGAGGATCAGCTCTACTCCCGTTTCCCCTCCATTGACCGACATTTTCTCCACGACATATTCAGGGATCATAAGTAAGACTCAAACCTTGCTTTGAGTTATATCCATTTTCTTTGGCACTCACAATAATTTGATGAATGCACTGTCAACCAGCAATGAAGTTCTTCAAAATGACTGATTAGTTTATTATTTATTATTATGTTTATTATCTGCAGCTACTGCCTCAGCCAGACGGAGCTCTTTCTGAACTCTTTACTAGACCAGGGCCCTGTGAAGACCGTCGTCGCTCCAGAATTGCCTCACTCTGACCACCACAGAACTCCCAGCAAAGAGAGAGAAAAGGTAGCTGTTGTTTACAAATCCAGCCAAAGAGATCCTCCATATGAACAAAAGTATTGGGTCACCTGGTTGCCATTTACACGATTATAGAATGGGAGACTTTCTACAAGATGTTAGAGTGTGTCTGTGGGGAATTTTTGTCATTTAATCCACAAGAACGTTGAGGTTGGAGGTTACTAATTCCTGACATGTGAGAAGGCCTGGTTCCCAATCGCTGTTGCAGTTACTCTCGAAATTGTTTTACACCCAACCTATCTACTTTAAGTAGGAACATGATCATGCTGGAACAGAATAGGGCCGACCCTCCAAACTGTTGCCACAGTTAGAAGCATAGAACGGCTGGGTTGACCACATAACGACTGGATTTCAAAAACTTCTGCTTTGTCCGTAACACGATTTTTATTGAACCAGTCTGGTATTGTAAAAGCAGCTTTTCTCTGTCCTCGCATTTTTTTTCTGACACTCTTAATTTCCCCCTTTTTGCATCAGAAACTTCCAGACTCTGATATAGCTGACTCCCATAAGTATCAGGACATTGAGGATCCTGAGTACCAGGACTTCAGGGCAGAAGCCAGTCTGCAAAGAAGTCGGCAGCTTGAGAGTTTTTCCAAAGCTGCAGCAGCTTACAAGCAAGGACACAAAGGGGTGGCTTCATTTTATGCACAGCAGGTAATCATCATCTTCTAAAAGTTACACTGTCTGTTCTTCCACTGTTCTGAGGTATGGGTATCATAAATAATTAAGAATTCTACTTGGTGTGTGGAATTGCTTGATAATTATAGGGGGTCCTCTCTTTATGATGGTACTGACAAACAGTACAATGTTATGAGGTTACAAATGGCACACAATGAAGTAATTCGCACAGTAGCATAAGAATATAAGATAAGATAAGATAAGAAAACCTTTATTAGTCTCGCAATGGAGAAATTCCCAATTCACAGCAGCAAAGTTATGAATGATATGATGTCCTGATTGGTGCACTCACCATGCTGAAGGTCTTTTGACACGATCACTTGTCCCTCCAAAGGTCTCTGCACACCCCCGTTTCCTATATGGGTTAAAAGCCTATCCCTAATTGCAAGTCTAATAATTTATGCAGAAAATACAGTACGTATTACTCTGAGTTCTGTCATTTGTGTCACCGTTTCCAATAGGGACACTTACACGGGCAGCGGATGCGTGAGGCCAACCACCGCGCAGCCGTTCAGATCTTTGAGAGGGTCAACTCCTCACTTCTACCGAAGAACATCCTGGACCTCCATGGGTTGCACGTGGACGAAGCCCTGGAACATCTGCGCCGCATCCTACATGACAAAACAGCAGGTACATGGACTCGAGTCAGAACGTATCGTAGAAGGGAAGAATAGTGTGGTATAAATTGAGAGAAGGGAAGAGGTTGAATGAAAGAATAATTCCATTATCTGTGTCATTGTGCTTGGTGCTTCTTTTCAAATGTATTCTTTTAACTGCTTGGGTGCAGACTGTGAACAAGGTCTGTGTCGACCGCAGCTTTCTGTCATCACAGGAAGAGGTAACCACAGCCAGGGGGGCGTGGCCCGCATTCGCCCTGCCGTTATAAACTACCTCAACAACACAAATTACAGGTACACACACACACACAGTTTTCTCATAGTCTCGCTCCTTTCCTCATCCTGTATTCCTTATCCCGCAGGTTCACAGAACCAAAGCCGGGTCTCCTGGTCGTCTCTTTGAAGTAAAAAAGAAGCAGGAGAGCATGCATGCGAAAGCCTCTACAAGGAACAACACTAATATGCTCACACAGATCAGTATAGTCACTCTACCTCTTTCTCCTTGTGACTTACTCTCCTGATTTAAAACAGCCCAAAAAGTCATCAATATTTGTCAAACTGAAGGTATTGTACATCTAAATGAGTAATTCTTCTGTCACTATTTCACTGCAGCAATGATTATTTTTATACACCTGCTAACCAAGAATGTATCCATTTAAAAAATATTTTATAGTGTGCCACTTTTACAGTTTTCTCCATATCTTTTAAGATATTTAAAATCATAAGTCAAAGCTAATCATAAAAGAATGCTGACTGAATCACAAAAACGTTCTGGTTCAGGGTTGTTTGTATTTTTAGATTGTATCATCATATGCTCAATTTTCATGATATATTTTGCAAGTGCTTTACCAATGCTTTTTGTCATTAAAGTGGAAAAATACCAATACCTGTACTTGAAGAATAATGCTTATTCTGCAATGTATTGTAAAAATTGTTCAAAAGAATGTTATATTTTTCCATATCAAAACTATATTAATTGTTGAAATGGGATGGTTGCATCATGTAATAAAATGTTTATACAATTTTAAATTTTACAGTTTCAGTTCATATTTTGTTGGCAAAAAAACAGCAAAGTCTGTGCAGGGACAACAGTAGCCCCTGCTGATCAGATACAGTACCGCAAGATTTGGTGTGATGGGATACCAGGCCAATATCGATACCTATGCTTTTTGAGTAATTGAGGTTAATGCATCAGGAAAGTGCAAAATCAGAATGAATTTTCATATTTTATATATATAAATAAGCAATAGTAGGAACATCCTATATCAGAATATATAATTAGCATCTTCAGAAAATAGGTATACAGTAAATCAAACATTTTCATTTTTGACATAACAGGAAAGACACTTCGGCCTTCAAAGTATGACAAATATTATTTGAGAACTTTTTGTTTTTAAGCAGATATTTTCTTTTGAATTACAACTGCCGACAGTTTAAATATTCGTAGCAGAAAATTGAATTAATTTTCAAAATGAAATTCCGTGGGGTATGTCTTCATCATTATTGATCACATGACCCATATGGGTATGCAGCTGCTCATGCCACGCTTGGCAGGGCCTATCTTCCTCTTAACCTGGTGAATTGGGGAGGCAAAGTGTGCCTGTCCCGTGCTGTGACCACCCAGAGCAGCGTTTAAGTTGTCAGTAGTGTGGAGCAACACACAAACACTGAGTTTGTCCTCAAGTGCTCTATAAATACAATTGAGTTGAGTTAGATTTTAAAATGTAACTACTGTATTTATGTCGCCCTGCGATTGGCTGACAACCGGTTCAGGGTGTCCCCCGCCTACTGCCCGAAGACGGCTGGGATAGGCTCCAGCACCCCCCGCGACCTTCAAAAATTTTGAGTTGGGGTAACTCAAAAATTTTGAGTTGAGTTAAATCAAAAATTTTGAGTTGGGGTAACTCAAAAATTTTGAGTTGAGTTAACTCAAAAATTTTGAGTTAGGGTAACTCAAAAATTTTGAGTTGAGGTAACTCAAAAATTTTGAGTTGAGTTAAATCAAAAAATTTGAGTTGGGGTAACTCAAAAATTTTGAGTTGAGTTAACTCAAAATTTTTGAGTTGAGTTAACTCAAAAAGTTTGAGTTGGGGTAACTCAAAAATTTTGAGTTGAGTTAACTCAAAAAATTTGAGTTGGGGGTAACTGCCCGAAGACGGCTGGGATAGGCTCCAGCACCCCCCGCGACCCTTGTGAGGATAAAGCGGTTCAGAAAATGGATGGATGGAATTATTTATGTCTGTCATGAGCCGGTGTTTGGTAACAGTACGCAAGTTACTCTACAACCAGACAAGCAATTCAAAGCACATCTCTCATGTTTGATGCATAATGCAGGAATTGATATATTATGGCTGATGGCTCACGGTCGTGACTATTCCGCATCTTTACTAATCCTCATGAACAGATTCAAAAAGAACAAGGAAGCCAGCAAATGACGTAACTGACTGCAAATTTGGAAAAAGTACACAGGAGTTTGCAGTTGCATTCCCCCTGAAATTTGAGACAAAACTACTGTCAGTGAATTGCCAAAATATGAACGTATTGTAAAATGTCACAGCTGTGGGGGAGGGACGTGTGACCCTCCTCTCACTGACAAGCGGATGTGCTGTACTTGTCAGTTCTTGCCTTCTTTTTTCAGCAGCTTTTCTCTTTGTTACCTGACAAGTGCTAAAATATATACAGCATTTGTACATGTTTTCATTTTTTAAGCGCAGTCTACTTATTTGTTGCTGGGTGGGGAGGTCGGAAGTAAGTAAATAAATGGGTAGAAGAAAGAGCAAACTTTTCGAGGCCTTTATGGGAGACATTCGGCTCAAAATGGCAAGACTTTGAAAAGACTGAAGAATGGTACGTATTTATTTGAATTTTCTTTCGTCATGTAAAATGAGATACGTAAAAAATGAAACTCTGAAGCAAGTTGGTTTTCAATACTCCTGTGAGAAAAGGCCCAATACACTGGAAAGTTCGGTTTGGCAAAGAAACTACTTACGCTATATGTTTAAAGTTAATTTCTTCTGACGTGTATTCATGTTATCTCCAGCTTGGTGAGCTCTGAAAGCTCAATGAAGACATTAATAATAATAACAGAAAAAAATGAGTGTACCAATGATCATAAATCATAATATAGTGAGAAAAAGAGCCGCATTATCACGCAATGAAGTTCACAACAAAGGTGATTTCATCTTAAAATTACACAAAAGTGCTTCCTGACAGCCTGCTTAACAGTCCTCACCTTAAAGCCACGATGGCGCTACGCCAGGCTAAAGTGGGGCAGAATATAGCGCCATCAATAATATGAGTAACCCCGGGTAACCACCAGCTTTTTATTGGATATTCTAAAATATATTTTAAACTTATTTTATCAGCCCCCCTATGTATTGGTCAAGCCCCCCTTTCGATCCGGGAGAGGAAAAAAAAATCCTGGAGAGAAGTCGTCCCTGCCTTCAAGCATATATATACGCTTTCATGCTTGTAATGTCAAGGTGTAGGTCTTGTAAATTGTAGAACAGCATTTGTTATATTTACTTTTATTTTTAGAACATGTAAAACTGTACCATTTGATCATGACTTTATTCTATTTTCCTGCATTAGGGTCATACGGTATTCTAATACGCTTGGGTAAAGCACTAATGATGGCACTCGGTGTTTGTGACACGGACGGGCAAAGCTCTGAATGTGTTACCGTCGACTTTGACCGACATGTACGTAGCCTGTTGCTCATAATGGGTTTTTCATGTCTTCCTCAGAACATCTGTCATCTGGCCTTCTTCATCTGTTGACCTTCCACAGGCTCAGCCAACAAGGTCCACAACACAAAGACAAAAGGGACATCGAGAAAGCCTGTTCGAGGACAATAAGTAATCGGGCATTACATTTTAAAACGATGGAACTATATGAACTTACAAAGAACAGCTTGCAGTGACTTTAACCAACTTGAGGCCGTCGTGCTTCTCCGGAACTGAAACGAACTGTTCAGATGATCAGCCGTAGAAATGTCTGTCAAGTGTGTCTTGGTTGGGGACTGCGCGGTGGGAAAAACGGCCCTCCTGGTCAACTTCACTTCAGGAACCTTTCCTGACATCTACAGGCCCACGGTGTTCGACAACACCGGGGCGGAGGTCTACATGGATGGTGTTTTGATCAGTCTGGGCCTGTGGGACACGTCGGGCCAGGACAACTTCAGACAGATCCGACCCCGATCCTACCAGCAGGCCGACGTCGTGCTCGTGTGCTACTCTGTGGCCAACCGCAACTCTCTGGCTAATGTACAGAGTAAGTGGATGGCAGAGGTTCGGGAGAACTTGCCCACGGTGCCGGTGCTGGTGGTGGGCACCCAGACGGACCTGCGGGAGTCGAGTGCGCATCGGGGCAGGTGCATCTCTGCGGCAGAGGGGAGGCGCGTGGCTCGGAACGTGCACGCCAAAGGCTACCTGGAATGTTCGTCCTTGACCAAGCGAGGGGTCCAACATGTTTTCGAGTGCGCCGTGCGCACCGCCCTGAGCCACAACAGGAAGCAGGCCAGACGACGCATGTTCAGCATGAACCAGTGCAAAGTTTTTTGACATTGTGTCATGAATTAACCACTCGCAGGGTGCTCTTTGAGTGACCAGGAATTTCAAAACTTCAACCGCAGACAACTACTGAGATCATACTCTGACATTTTAGTTTTGTTACTCTGAAAATTTCTATCAGTACATCCGAAAATCACATTTTTTGGTTACATTTTATTCAAAAGTTTTTTTTTATTGTTCTTTTTGGTGATTGGAGTCATCAAAGTATTGCGCGCGTGTTTGAATATATCATAAGGCTAAACTGTCTGCCGGCTTGGTGGAGTGTTGCATCCGTCTGCCTTCGGTGCAGGCAGCATGGGTTCGTTTTCCCACTCAGTGATGGTGTGAATGTTTGCCCGCATCAATGGAAAAGCAGCATACGTGCCCTATGATTGACCAACAACAGTCCAGGATGAATTCTACTTCAAATTTCGCTAGTCTCCAGCTCCCCATGACGCTGAACAAAATAAGCGGCTGAGAGAATGGGCGGACGGATGCCTTCAGAATGATCCATTCACTTTAATTCGCTTACCTTTGAAAGTCATATTCGTCATATTTATTTAATGAAAGACAAATATAGTAATGCAACTTTTTTATTGACTCTGCCAAAAATATAAATGTTCCTGTTCATTTTCATCCTATTGTTTTACTTAAACAAATATGTGACAATATTTAATTTGAATGTTGCCCCTTAAAGACTTAATTCAAATGGAACCCAACAAGATTCTTCCTTATCATTTATAATTCAATTTATTGTGCTGTTTGCTTCTGAGACTTCCTGAATTTACTTTTTTTTTTTTAAATTTTTACATCCAACAGAAAGTCCACATAACACACACAATGCTTCCAAGCCACATAGGGGAACATTACGGCGTTAGCAAAGAGTGGATTCATTACTTTTAAATTGTTGCAATGTTTTTGCTATCTCGTTATATTTTGAGACAAAATAAATCTCTTACCAATGGTTTATGTTGATTTCAAATTACCTTTTTTTGCTGCAATGGAATGTTCAAATTGGTTGCTGTATATTGGCTAGTTCGAATTTGGCCAATGGAGTTGTGTACTTTGACAATTGAATATTAATTTTCATGATTTGCTTCCTGGTGTATGATCCGCTATGTTCTGTCGCCAGGGAATATAAACTGTACATGGTGTCTCGGGTCAATCACTGTTAGTTTGGCCATCGATCTGAGTTGAAGCCGTTTTGTCAACTGTTACTGGGAACCCTTAACATGCAGTGTATAACAAAGAGATGAAGAACAAATATATTTACTGGATGTGCTTGATTTTTAAGCTTTGTCATTGCTGTCATGCCGTGTGCTTTGCGTTTAAATTGCAGTTTAACACACTGATTGGGAAAGCAGTGTTGTCTTCCAAAGACCACTGGAGATTGAAAGGTGCAAATGAGTTCGATTAGCACTGGTAGTGCAAATAGCGTCCTTCCATATTTGCATTTTGTGAACAGATGATGACGCCACACTTCTTTGAAAGAATATTCCGGAATATACCGTAACCACATCCCACCACATGCGTACAAGTTTGTGCAAATACATTACCTTATCTAGGTTTACATTTTGGACACAGCAGACCTTTCACCAAGTACACCTTCAGAATCTAATAAGAGCAACTTGAAGAGCTGAATAATCTGTCGTAAAATAATGCCTTCTTTTCACACCGTCAGGGAGATACAATGTTTATTATTGTGATTGCCGATAGAAATGTAGTGGCACTGTATATAATTGAAAAACAAAAATGTTATGCGTTGAGCATTATAAGCAGGTGAATCTACCACCTCGTAAAGAATAATGACACAATGTTGACCATCATACTGAATATTCTGCCGCACTCATGTCGCGAAATTAGGTAACCAAAACGTGAGAAACACCTGTACGTTTGATGGCGTGCAAACTACAACAATCATCATGTAATCCAAAATGTGCCAAATGTGACCATTGTTATTTTTATGAAGCAAGTTTACTAGATTGCGGTGTTTATTTTGAAGTAAATAGTAAAGCAGTGTACGTTGGAATGGGCCTTGAAGTTTTTCAAACGTAGAAAAATTCACTTGGGTCTGCTGTGATCTCTTCTTTTTACTGCCATTTTGCTCGCGCGCACTGTCACCGCAAAACCTTATCCCCCTGTCTAACAAGTACACACACACACACACACACACACACACACACACACACACACACACACACACAGACACACACACACACACACGAAAAAAAGCAAATGCTCACACTTGTAGTGTGATGAGCAAATCGAAGTGAATTGCCACTCTACAGTATGTTAAAAATGAAGTAAAAGCACAAGTGTAACCATGGCAACATTTCACAACCAAGCTGCGCCATAAACCTTCTGCATGCAGACGAAAACGGAAAGAGAACACCAATTAGATTTATCCAGCCATGCTTCACATGCAATTACTACACGCTGAGATAAAAATGTAAACACTGTTTGCATACAGAAAATGGAATGGGATCCAAATAAACGGCCATCTGTGTGCTGCGCAAAAGAAAATCTCTGCAGGAGAGAAGTGGCCAAAAATCCAAAATATCACCAGGATTTTCCTTTACTGAAAAAAAAATGATGCGTTGAATTTACTCCACTTAGTTTTGTCAAGTGCTTGCACAAAAATTAACATTGAAATAGATGTATAGTATATTAAAAATGTATCTGGATCCAAATGATTTTATATCATGCAACCAACTGACGAAATTGGATATATTCAACAAAAACGTTTTCTATTGTTGGTGCGATATAGAGTAACAAGGGCAGAATTTCCACAATACAGAGGGCCTTAAGTCAAACCTAACTGATAGTGAATGTACCTGTGTAGAGGGCTGCTGGGGATTAAAATTAATGACAAGTGTAAACTAATTGAGACGCGAGAAAATCATAGTTCCAGTTTGCACTATTTAAGTGATAGGACCATTCGTGATACTTTTTTTTTTGTCCTCCTTATCCCCTGCTGGCACACCTTTGTGGATCAAAATTCCCCATAAAAGAACAATTCCCGAATTTGTTTTACCATTCTGACATTTGAGCTACGCATTCCGTGTGCAACGAGATGCTCGTTTGTTCGTTGGTATTAATGGTAAATTTAACAAAGGATACAAAACAACACCTGCATCGACAAAAAGCCTCCACGTACTCCTGATGCGTGCATCCGTGTAACCCACAAGGCCGCAACATTCGTTATCGTACATGTGCGCACACACACGTGTTTATACACAGGAAACACCTGGGATATGAGAGCAGCATTTCTTCCTTACATTGACCTTATTTGCCGTTTGTGGAGGGATCCATCTCAATCTACTTGAGTATACTATCAACTCCATACAGAAAAGTCTGCGTAGTGTGAAGAAAGATTAGATTATGAACAAGTGAATGTCAAAAAAGCCCCAAAACCCCAGACCCAACAGCCCGCGTACGCCAGATGTCCCAAAAGGGTAAGTCATTTTCATTTAAATATGTCTGCAGTTTGATTTGACAAGAATTCACTTCTTTTTACAATTGCCCTCACAGTGGCAACAATTTAAGCCTGCAGCACATGTACATTATATCTCGGTTGCAACACACCTGATTATTTAAAGTTCAATTATTTCCCTCGAGAATAAGAGTTTCGAAATTACAACTTGGCAGTCAACCAGCGTGCCAACAGATTGTTCCGTGAGGTTCAATTTCGGCTTGGTCCTCCTTTTCGATGACTGAAGTTTACATGATGAACTCTATTCTTCTTTTTCAAGTGCTTTTGTCAAAGACTCCCCCACTGTGAGCTGAAATCTGATGCCGGGATCTGTGTTCAGTCCATTGGTGTGTATGACATGTGTCACATGCTCCCAGACATGTGTGCTGGTGTCGGCTGACCTGGCACATAGAGGGTCAGCGTACCTGTGTGTGTGTGTGAGACATTGATGTGTGCCATTGTATCGGAGCGTGCTGTTCAAAATGTCACACAGCTGGTTGTGTTCTTATACACGAGTGGCTTATGCAGCAGGCATCACGTTTCACATACTGTCTGCGATATGTGATCGTGCCATTGTACCCTGGGTGTGGAGGCGGTATGTGTGTGCGGCAGCTCCACTTACAGAGCAGCCATCGCACATATATATACACACTGTGACGGAGGCAAACAGCGACTAAAAACTAGTGAAGCATTGACGGCGATGACAAGAGGCGAGTTTCAAGAGTTGAGTGCATGTGGATGCTCTGAGCTCGCGGAGGACAGAATGCAGTTCAGAGAAGACTGACATATAGATTCGGGCTCGGGTTATCTCAACACACGCATCGCTCCAGTCACGCCCTCATTTTGTTGAAAATGAAACAGGCGGCACTGATTGCTTGGATCAGCCTTCTGGTGCGAGGTCCGTTTGGCATGATCGACCCCGTTTGTCTGGAGCATCATGAAACAGTTTTTTTTTTTTTAATCTTCTTCCTTGTCTTCCTTCCTGTTGCCCGACAGTGTCTCAGGGTGCCCGGGGACATTTCGCTCGCAAACTTCTGAATGACCTGATGGAGGACTACTCCAATGCTCTGAGGCCTGTAGGGGACACCGACAAAGCCCTCAATGTCTCTCTTCAGATCACTCTGTCCCAGATTAAAGATATGGTGAGTGGAAAGAAAACTACCTGTCAGTAATCTTAAAACCCGCCCAAGTGCATCGTTGAGTCATATGATGAGCGCACAGAGAATCTACTTCAAATGAAAACTCACTCGGTGTAGGCTGTCACAATATTAGAGACTGCCCATAAGACTGTGCTACTGAAAAACGCCATTGCAATGCCTGCAATAGATAAATTCAACGATAAATTTGAACATTTTGCACATCATTGCTGTCGGATGATGAATGTGCGTGTCACTTTATTTTTAGGATCAATTGAAAAAAAATTGTTGAAAGCAAAGTATTTCTTGAAGAGAAAAACAAAACAAAACAAAAAAAAAAAACAAAACCGACCGTTAAGTCAATCTTTCCTTCAATGCTGAATATTTGAAACGCCAGAATGCCTGCAAGGCCTTTGCAAAAGCAAAGATTTTCCTAAACATCTCAAAATCCACATCATTCCTCACAATATCTGATTAATTTGGCCTCAGAGGATACAGTTAACCACAAAATGTTGGGCAAAACAACGGCCAGTGGGGAAAAGTCTGATGGACCTGTTGAGTTGAAATATTATTTTTCCTCAACATGTGTGGGACTTATATTTAAACCAACAACAATTCTACTACTATTACTACTACTAATGATATAAAAATGAAAAATTCATATTTTTATGTTAAAATAATCTTGAACATAAATCATTCTTCCACTTTCTTGACTTGTCATTTCCAATTGGTTTTAACTGGGTTGGTCTTAAAATATAGCGATTTTATACGTGCAGGTATTATTTAATACAGATTGTTTTTTTTTTTTTCCAACATTGAGATTTTGAGGCTAGCTCGTTGTTTTCTTGGAAGAAGAAATCCTGTTCTCATGGCAGACTATTCTGCTAAAGTTAAGCAACAGACTTCGCATTGCATTAATTTTTACCTAGCTTTTTGGGGGAGCAAAGTTTTTGCAAGGTAATGTTGGGCTAAACTGTAAAATCTTTTTTCTTAATTTCTCTGCAAGTCTAGTATTATGAAATCAGCCACAACCTTGAATCAGCGGGTCTAATTATGTAAATGTGTGAATGTAAATAAGTTATTGAGAAGCTTAAAGGATGAGTGCAATATATTTTCTATGTGCGCGGGCAGGACGAGCGAAATCAGGTGCTCACCACATACCTGTGGATCAGACAGGTGTGGCACGATGCCAACCTGAAGTGGAACAAGGAGGACTATGACGATCTGGAAATGATCAACATTCCGAGCGACCTGGTTTGGAAGCCTGACATTGTCCTCTATAACAAGTTAGCAAACTCAAAATCACTACGTATGCCGACATATAGACTGTCTTCATCACTTCACTTCCTTTACCCAACAAACAAAGGACGGACACCATCATTCCTAAAGGCAGCTTTGTCTCCATCTGACTTGGGTCTGACGTGTGTTCAGAGCAGATGAGGAGTCGTCGGGTCCATCCAACACCAACGTGAAGCTGCGCTACAACGGTGAGATTGTCTGGGACTCCCCAGCCATCACGAAGAGCACGTGCGTGGTGGATGTTTCCTACTTCCCTTTTGACTGGCAGCAGTGCAACCTCACATTTGGCTCCTGGACGTACAATGGGAACCAGGTGTGGACGAGCAAAATTATGGTGGATCATGTGAAAGTAGGAATCCAAACTGTTCCAATGAGTTGGAAGCACTGAATCACGAACAACATCAACCGCGTCCCTTGCCTCCGTCAATTTTTCTCAAGGTGGCCCTCAGAAGAAATCGTTTCGACGTGCCAGATTGAATCCCTTTGTTGCGTTTGCTTTCGTTCCGTTGCCTCTTTTGCACAGGTGGACGTTAGCTTGGGGATGGACAGCGGCGACCTGTCTGACTTTGTGGAGAACGTGGAGTGGGAGTGTCACGGCATGCCGGCGGTGAAGAACGTCATGATGTACGGCTGCTGCTCGGACCCTTACACTGAAGTCACTTACACCTTGCTCCTGAAGCGCCGTTCCTCCTTCTACATCTTCAATCTGCTCCTGCCTTGCTTCCTTATCTCCTTCCTGGCGCCACTGGGCTTCTACCTGCCGGCTGACTCCGGGGAGAAGGTGTCGCTGGGTGTCACCGTGCTGCTAGCGCTCACTGTGTTCCAGCTGCTGGTGGCCGAGAGCATGCCGCCAGCAGAAAGCATGCCCTATATAGGTTAGTCGCAGTCCACATGATACTCATGTTCAACAATAACATGGCACACTGTAGATCCAACGTCCTACATTCTGTCTCCATCGAACTGCAATTATGAGCCTATTTTGCTCATTATGTAAATGTTACATTTAAAAACTAAAACACAACTGCAAAACGATTCAAAAGATGTGGTTAGCACGTCCTGCATCTCACAGGGTTTGGGGTTTGAATCTTGGCTGCTGACTTCCCGTGGGGGAGCTTGCATGTTGTTTCTGCAGTTATTCCGGCTTCCTCCCACACTCCCAAAAATTGTCCCTGAGGTGTGAATGTTAGTTTGCCTGTCTGTGCACTGAAAATAAATGTGCTAAATTTACTCCACTTTATTTCATCAAATGGTTGCACAAAATACAATCACCTGGATCTGGATATGCTGTGTAGTCTCTTTCAAAATGTATCTGGATCCAGATGATTTTATTGTATGCAACCGCCTGACAAAATGAACTTGAGTAAATTCAACAATATTTTTTTCCCCCTGAGATTGGCTGGTGACCACTCCAGGGTCCACCATGCCGACATCGCCGCTCGCCCAAAACCAAGCGGGTTAGCTTCCAGCTCACCTGTTCGGGCAAGCGGTATAGAAAATGGATGCATTTATGGACAAAAGCTTGAAAAGATTTTTCATTTTAAAAAATGTTATTTTATTCATATTATTTTCATACCCATGAAGATGGCAGAAAATGTGAATGGAAAGTGGCTTCTTTCCGTTTTTTTCCAAAGCCATTTTATTCAACGATGTGATTAATCAACAATCAATTCCAAATGGAAGTCCAAACATGGTTTTAGTTGGGTTTCATTGTCGAATGGAAAGTGTCTTCTTTCCGTTTTTTTCCAACGATGTGATTAATCAACAATCGCCATTTTACTCAACGATGTGATTAATCAACAATCAATTCCAAACGGAAGTCCAAACATGGTTTTAGTTGGGTTTCATTGTTTTGGTTTCTTGCAGTCTCCACAAATTCGACACAAATAAAGACGATACAAAAAAATAAAGTACACCAGTTCTGATATTGATCCATGATTTTGCAAGTGTACCTAATATTGTGGCTAGTGGGTAGTCGTGATCTGGTAATTCAACTTTTCATAAATTTACCACAGTGTAAAAAAAGCAAAAAAATAAATACAACTGGGGGGGGGGGTGACCGCCCCCCCCCCACTCAAAAAGCAAAGTTTGTTAGGAGTAAATGTGCAAGTGTTACCCTTAACAAATTCCTTCCTCTTCTTCTTCTCTAGGGAAGTACTACATTGCCACCATGACCATGATCACCGCTTCCACATCTCTCACCATCTTCATTATGAACATTCATTTCTGTGGAGCTGAGGCCAAGCCAGTCCCCCACTGGGCTAAAGTCCTCATCATAGATTACATGTCCAAAATATTTTTTGTCTATGAGGTAGGGGAAAACTGTACCACTCCTGAGTGTGAGAAGAGCCCCCTGTACCATGACGAAACCTTGAGTGACGCAAGCTTCGACCCTCACCACTGTGACACCCACCACTTTAACTGCGACCCGTACAAACACAGCAACGGCCACGGCATCCATCATTACAGCCAAGATCGCAATAAAAGGGCAAATGGCAAAGTAAACAACAAAGACCGTGACAAGAACCACACCTCTCAACCGGGACGGGCAGAGGTGAAGAGAGAGGCGGAGCAGCACTGCCACCATTATGTGACAAATGATGAAGACTACACGGCTGCTCCTCAACCTCCGTACCTTCAGCATTTGAACAGAGGACCGAAGACGCAGATCTACTTTCCTGAGGAGAAGCACCAGATCTTGGCCTGCCCCTGCAACTGTCCCTGCCTCCAACACAACCAGGTACAACTTAGTTGGGGATGAGAACCACTGTTCATTAAAGGCGCAGTGAAATTTCAAGGAATCAAAGCAGTGTTGGAATCAAACCTCCTTGCCTGACTGCTAACCCAGTGCATAACACTCGTGAAGTTAAAATTTGAGGTTTTTTGATAATTTGTTAAAAACACACTCAATGATCATGAGATAACCGTTTGCACATCATTTCCTCGTTCCATTTTCACTTGGCAATTCAAACGCATTTACAAGTCACTGATTGTGTTGTTGTGACTTTTTTATTCTAACGCAAAAATGAAATCATGCTGGGTCTTTCTTACTTCAATTGTAGGCTCAGATCAATTATACAAAATCGGAAAATGGGATATTTAGATTTTAATATTTGTTTGGTTGTGGTTATGTGACCTGGAAGTTTGGTAACAAGCAAATAGCGAAGGTACGTTAGCTGCCGCAATCAGTCTGGACTACAACCCATGAAATATTATCAGATCATACTATATCAAGGACAAATTTGTTTGAAGCGTTGTTGCAATAGGCCTCATATATTACTTCATGCAATACGTTACAACTACTACTATCGTCAGCTATGTGTTTGCTACTGTCGCAGATGTATTCAGTCACATTTTTACCATTGGGCAATCATATCCAAGGAGTCATGTCTTTGTTGGTAGGCATGGCTTTTTTTTTTCGATGGAATATTACATGGATTTGAAACAGTGCCAAATCGTGGCGGTCCATTTCAATGGCTCTTTTCTATGTCTCACCTTCAGGTAGTGAAGAACATCCAGTTCATGGCAAACTGCTTCCGCGAGCAGAGGACTACCTGTGTCAAGGCTGCCGAGTGGAAAAAGGTTGCCAAGGTGATGGATCGATTTTTCATGTGGATCTTCTTCATCATGGTGTTCCTCATGAGCATCCTAATTATCGCCAAGGCATCCTGACAGTTTGGTTTTCAACACTAATCCTCTATTAACCCCGCCCCCACCAGTCACCTAACTCCAATCGTAGAGTTGGAATGAATCCGAACTGTTTATCTGCAGTACAATGAAAGGTGTTTCATATGTCAGTATTGTGCACTGTTTGCGTGACGTCACTTTGTTTACTGTGACATTGTGCAAGGGATCAGTAAAACTATATACGTAGGCCACACCAAGACGCTGCGTGGACTCTCCATTATTGATGGTCTGAAAGACAGGCGTTCAGCTATAGGCATGACAAAGCTTAAGCTCATTAGCCGCTCCATTGAGGGTACTTGCACACTCATACACTGTTTCACACCGTTCACTCTGTCTTCAGACCACTTCCGTCCTAACGCTTCCTGGAGTTAACGTCACGTCTAACATCCACGTTTGTTTTAATGAAACAAGATGTGAACAAACTATCAACAAAAGATAAAGTAATAGTGTTCTTTTATTATTTAATGTAATAATATTTATGAATAAAGACGAAGGCGCCCTGGTGCTTTCTGGAAAAGCAAGCAATCACCTCACCTTTACAGAGATTTAAAAAAAAAAAAAAAAAACTAGGACTTTGATCCTATTGACCACAGGCAAGTCATGCAACTTCCCATCGAACTAAACATCAACCTGATAAACACGAGTCACACACACACACCATCATGGGACACTCTGAAGAAGGCCAAAGACTTGTTGAAACATGTCAGGTAAAGAACAGCCTAAAAAAAAAACTTTGTCTGAGATAAACGAAACCAACAAGTTCACTTATGAGTAAGAGACAGAATGAACTCGATTCAGTTGCTTCCCATTGAACTATTACTTTACTCGGGCTCAAATTCAATCAGACCATTGTCCTGAACTGTAATCTGCGGATAAGAAATGTTGGGTTGACGAACTATTGCTCAAGATTGAATCATGCTGATGACAAGAGGGCTTTGTTGTGTCACTGACCCTACGCACAAACATAAGGCAGACCTTTACAGCAATGTGTTGTTGCTCTTCGTTCATATTGGCAAGCAACCAAGAAACAGCATGTCATCCTCTAGCAAGCAAGCGTCTCCAAAGACAAAGACAGGTACGTGTTTTGTCACTTTCTCCTTCAATTTGAACAACTCAAAAACTGCTCCCAAATGAATTTCAAATCCAGGTGGAAAGTCATCGTCCTCCTTGTCAGAGGTGCGATTGGTTCTGCTGGGGAAAACCGGCAGTGGAAAAAGCTCCACTGCCAACTTTATCCTGGGCCGTAGACACTTTGATGCCAAAGTCAGCAGCTGTTCGATCACCCAGCGGTCTCGGAGGGCCTGCGGAGAAGTCTGCGGAAAGCACCTGGTGCTCTTGGACACTCCGGGAATTCTGGACACATCCCAGACTCTGAAGGAGGTGCAGAGAGAGTTAAGGAAGTCTGTTAGTCTCCTCTTCCCGGGGCCACATGTCTTTCTCCTCATCATTCGGATCTCGCGGTTCACTCAGGAGGAGAAAGAGGCGGTGCACCAGTTCAAACAGGTCCTTGGTCCTCATGCTCTACGATTGTCCATTGTGGTTTTTACACATGGAGACTGCCTGGAAGATCCAGGTTCAGTGAAGCAGTGTATGATAGACATGTGCCCATATCTGGAGGAACTGGTGACAGAATGTGGCGGGAGGTACTGTGTCTTCAACAACCAGAGCTCCGGGAGCAAGGAGCAGGTAACTGAGCTGCTTGCCATTGTGGACCGCATGATGAAGGATAACGGCGGAACTTGCTACACCAGCAAGATGCTTCAGAGTTCCGAGGAGGATTTGGCCTGCGTGCAGCAGGAAGAGCGGCGTTTGCTGGGTCGCAAAGAGAAGCAGCAAAAAAAGAAGCATGTGGAAGAAATGAAAGTGAGGTATGAAAAAGATCTTGAGAATCTTCAGCACAGGGAAAGGGGGGTGGAGGAGCTGAAGAAACAATTCGAGCTGGAGAACGAGGACGAGAAACGGATAGGTTTCGAGGGGAAAGAGATTCAGGAGATGCCAATCCAAATGGAGGAGGAGGAGAGGAGAGACGCTCCCCAAGACGGTTTGGAACCAGTTACCAACATACTTGTGGAAGCAGCAGTGAGGGAGAAGAATCTAAGACATGATATGAAAGCGATGACAAAAATACATCATGGGGAAAATGAAAGGAAAGAAATGGATATCAGACAGATAGAAGAAATGAAGAGAGAAACTTTGCAAAGGCAGCTGGATCAACTCTTCCAAAGTTTGGAGGAGAGGAGCAAGGAGCAAAGGGAGCGGAAGAAGCAAATGGAGGATTTGCTCAAACGCCAGGGAGGGGACGAATGGGCGACACAAATGGAAAAACTCAGAGCGGACAAAATAAATATAGAATCCCTCATGCAGCAGCTCAAACTCCTCAAGGTGAAGACCGATGAATATATTCGCCAGGAAGCGAACGTCAAGAGGCCGTTGGGAGGGAGTGAGAGAGAAGAATGTTCCGTGTGTTCTTCACTGCTGAGCAACGTGACAATCAAGAAAAAAAGTGAGTCGCAGCACAGCACTGTGATGCATGTGACTGGATTTGTACAGGAAATGGGACTAATGGGGCTCAACGCATCTTTGCAGCTTGCCAGGAATTCATGTTCTGTGCAGTAACTAATTCATACCTCTACTAACAAGTAATTCTTCAACAGTTCATAAATTCAGCAACTTCCTGTGTGTACTTTTTGATCTAGAAAACGGAATGATTGTTGTTGATTGAAAACATTTGATCAGTATCCACACACTGATGAAGTCATCAAAATGATCTTAAAAAAAAAAAAATAAAAAATCAATAAAAAAAGATTTTTTCAAAAATCGATAAGCTGACGCTGACCACGCATGAGTTGCCAAACTGAGCGCCTGGCTTTTCGGTGCAGCTGGGTGTTTATTTGATTACTATTTATAAATATTATAGTGATTTAGACTGTACCGATTGTGTCCAGCTCTTCCGCTGACGTTACACCAATATATGGGGGTTGGGGGGGACATGAAAGTGAAGCGGGTTGTGTCCTTATTACAGAGGAGGAAGAAGTGTTCCAAGATTAGTTGGTTATTTACTAATTTCTCCAAAGCAAACGGACACAAGTGAAAATACAAGCTAGTTTAACTTACCTGATCAAAAAAAGAGAGTTTTCGAGTGAAAAATGGGTTATCCTGGCCGCATAGTTCCTTTAATGCAGGGGCGTAGAACTCATTTTTGGCGCGAGCCACATTTTAGTGACCGTTTCACTTGGAGGGCCGTTATGACTGAAACCATATGAAGAAGTCAAGAATAACGGCGTATACACTTTTTGTTTAACTTACTGTAATGAGGGGTTTGGTCACAAGAAAATGCTCACAGTATCACTGTTATTTATTATAAATGAGAATTTAAAATTTTGGCAGCGATTTTAGCAAGCATCATGAAAGTTAAGCTTTGATTTGCTTTCGCGTGCCGCATAAAATGATGTGGCGGGCCTTGAGTTTGACACGTGCTTTAATGTGAAGAGCTACCAGTTTGATCCACACTTCTCAAATAACAAATGTGCTCAAATCATTTAAGGTTAAATCATTGCATAATTTTTGTTGCACCTGTTAGCTTCACTGAAAGAATGCTGTGGTTTGATTTGACTTTATGCTACCATATTGAACTATACTCTTTTTTTGGGGGGGGGGGAGTGTAGTTGATGTAGTCATTTCGAACATTTACATCAGTGCAAGTCTGCTTTAAATAAGAATAGGATCCCCCCAAAAATAAAAACACATACATCACACTGTCAAATGCACCTATTTTTTTCAGCAACACACAAAAATTGGATGCATCTCACTGTTAATGCTTCCTGTTAACAGACACAATTCTTTGAAGCTAGATATTGATGCTCTAATTGAAGAATTGTTTTTATAATCTCAGTTAATCAAATGTCCATCGATAATACCAAGATAACATTTACCAGCGGATGCACCTGTGGCAAAAGCCAAGCTGTGTTCTGCAGAAGCTGGCTAACAGTCCTGATCGTTTGAATAAAGTGTTTTGCAGCAGGGAGAGATGGAAAACAGAATTAAAAACCCCTGAACCTAACAATGCCCTAAAGCAGCCGTGCCCAACATTTTTTTTTAACCAAAGATGTACTTTTTGACCAACCAACCTCCCGCGATCTACCCGTTAATGCACATGCGCATACGCATTTACACACGCATGCCCCGATGAGCAACAGCCATAACGGCCCCGAAGAAGAACTAAACAGAAAAATAAGTAGACATAAAAGTTTATGAGTTTGTGAAAAGCAATCACTGTTTACCTTAGAAGAGACCTGACTCGGAGGCATGGGACGCACTTTTGCAGCGTGTGAACGATCGTAGCTCACGTGTACCGTTTTAGAAAGGTTCTCTCGGTCCTCCAGATTCCCATTCTTTGCCAGTGCTCTCGGTGAATTGCACATGAAACAAACTCTGAATGAGAAAAACAATAGCAATAAAAAAATAGAGCGCCACAGCTGTGATTTCAAGCTGTAATTGCAGACTGCTGACCGGTAACAACTTCCGGTGATGCAGGTCACGCGCCACCGTACGTTAAAGGTGACCTGCTTTTTAATTTTATTTTTACAATACTTTTTGTGAAAGTCAGACCGATGGGATGCTAAGGGTGCAGTGTGCACTAACACAAAAATATATTATGTTAATAACACGCACACAGACACACAAATGCTTTGGGTTGTTGCCCCCTCCCCCCGCCCCCTACAATCCTCGCGATAATTCGGGAATAGTCTGCAGTTTACCGGTCGATCGCGATCGACGGAACGTGCACCCCGGCCCTAAGGAGTGGGCAGAAGTGAAATTTACAGGCACCTACATGTTTTTAAATGTTTCCCTCCACCAGCACACCTGATTCAAATGATCAGGATCTTGCTGTTTTTTTTCATCGTCGATAATTAATATTACAGATATGATCAATTCAATTTTGTTTATCTAATTCTGAAAGAAAGTCTTTGACCGGGATTGATTATTGTGACAAACAAAGCCAGAGATAAAGAGTGTGAGGTAAATATTGGTTTTAATTAACAAACATCAGTCAGGTAACTGACATTAGTCTGGGGATAGAGACGGGACCTAGAAAGCACAATGCACACGTGTAGAGGTGGGGAACATGTTTATCTGTTACACAAGAGGCCCCGTACAGTCGGAGCAGGAGATTCTATATAACATACAGATCAGGATCCAAGTCTACGGTACAAAACTTAGCAGCAACATGTTAAACATCGGAGACCGAGGGGCTAACAAAGTAGTTTCATTTAGAAAAAGTCACAGTATCCTTTAAGCATAAATTTGTTAAAAAGGTAAAAACAGTTCTAGGCATCCTTAAGGGTCAATGCTACTCACAAGATCTTTCTTTCGTATACTCTAATATAAAGACTTTCTGGTCATGGCACAGTACAAACTCTCAGGAAACGTGACAAAAATATACACCGTCCTCACGTCACATTTACAGATTAAAATGTAACAAAGGTCTCTGGCAAGCACAATAGATTCCAAAAACAATCAAACAAACAAACAAACAAAACCAACTTCTCCAACAAAAAAAAATAAAGGACACCATTATGTTAGTTCAACTATCTGGACAGATTATGTCATTTTAATACAAAAATAAGGACAAATATAAATTAATATATATTAAAAGAATCAAAATTGATACATGGGGGAAGACCTACTTAAGTACGGGTATTTATGATACAATAAATACTCATGACTGGGGAGTACTGTATTGTGTATTGAACCTGGAGGGTAACAAATAACTCTTCTATGGGTGAGAGTGTTGTTCAGTAGCTGTGTGAAAGAGTTTTGAGGATTGTGTACACAGTCTCATGTGTGGTGGTGAGTCTATGATACGACCAATTCAGGTTTCCCCTACGACACACAACTCTCGGAGAATGCCTCGGAAGTCTTCGGGTAGACGCCAGAGACGTGTGGATCCTCCAGGGAAGAGACTTTGACGGAGTCATCTGAGTCACCATGATCAATGAAACGAAGTAGATGCAAGGAAAAAGTCAACTTTTTTTTTGTCTTTTTCTCCACTTCATAATAAAAAATAAGTCTGTTTTTGTACTTTACAATACAATTCAACATCCCCACCGAGGAAGCATCAATCATCAGTCCAAGCACTGACAAAGAAAGAAACTGGGGTGCTTCTTTTTTTTCAGGGTTTTTTAAAAAAAAACTGAGGGTCTCAAAGAAGGAGATGGGAAGCAAGTAAGGCGGGCAGGTACACAAAACATATCTTGCAAAGAGAAAAGTCTTTTTGTTTTTTGTTTTTTTATGTGAAACACTTTGTACAGCCGCATTTGACAATTTTCTCCACTTCCTGAACAAAAGAGGAACCGTCAGTGCACTGGAAGGTGTATTTCCTGCGTTTGCTGCGGAGCGGGGTGCAGCAGGTCCCTTGTCCTTCTGCTCCCCCCAGGCAGCTGCCCCTGCACTCTAGACGGGAGACCTTCTCCTGGGTTTGGCACGCCGCGTAGCCTTGCTGTCTCTGGTAGACATCTCGGACCCGTTCCCCTCTGCAGGCCACCTCTGCAAAAAAATAGAACGTCCATTATCCACTATGTGGTCCAACATTAAAGAAATGGCATCAAAAGTGGATTTGAATGGAACAAAACAACACGGAAAATATGGAGCCAATATTAAGAAATGAAAAGCATGTTAAATGAAAGGACAAAGACTTGAAAAGACTGTTTTCTTGAACATGAATTGCTTCAGTGGGATAAAATTAACGGTTGCAAAATGTCTGGAGTTGAACTCAGACGTTTGCTATTCAAACAGCATTATTCCGTTCAGTCACTTGCACTGAAAAAGGAGTTCAGAACATTCGGAGAGAAATTCTTCTCTCCTTTTGTATCCAGTATAACCTACAACATATCAATTGATAGATCGGTAAATTTTAATGGATCATGGAAATTCCTTTTTATAATGTTATTGTATGTCATTTAAAAATAACAAGATGCTCACAATATGAAACAAAACATGTTAGGAAAAAAATGCAGTGGATGGACCCTGTAGAAACTACATGGGAGGATTAAAAAAAAAAAAAAAAAATCAGACCATGTAGTCTCACCTGAATGACCCCTCGTGTGGGGTTAAGCGGAAGATCAGGTGAAGCTGATTTGGAAAAGCAAGGCGATAGAAGTGTTAAATGCAGAAAAAAAGAAACATTGTTAGATGCACACACATGCCAAACGGTGAACCGAGCAGCTGTTTCGGAGGGATTTTCTTTTGAATAAAAACCCATAGATAAGTTTGAGATTGAGAAGGCTCATTACAGAGTCCACTGCATGCGTTATTTTGTCAATGTCAACAAGCACCAAATTATGAACGCCACCTTTATCGCATGCCTCTCCGGTGTATCCGCTGTTACACTCGCAGTATGCTTTGCCCAGTCCTGACACTCTGCATTTGCCGTGTTTACAGCGCGACAGGCCGCAGGGATTGGTTGCTTCCTGGTCCTGCTCGTCACAGAGAACGCCGCTGAACCCGGGCTGGCAGCGGCAGGAGTAAGAGTAGGAGTTGATGGCCAGGCAGGTGCCGTGAATACACCTGGAGATTAAAAAAAAAAAAAAATGGCACAAAACATGTTCATCAGAATGCCACTGAGCAGAGAACAGGCCCAACTGTTAACTGAAGACAAACTACCATTGAATTTGTTGCTATTTTTCTAACATTGAAAATGAACGCATCTTCAATCAGGACCCTTGCCAAAACTTCTTCACCAAGTTCAACTGTTTCCTGGAGGTTGGAACAAGTGAATAGCCGTATGGGATTAAACAGTTTTTTTTTTCTGGTTGGGGTC